TTGTGATACTGGTGACTTATAGGATGGACCAAAACAGGTACAAGAAAAGCAATCAATGTTCTACATCAAACTCAGCTGCTAAGAAGCTGGGTAACAGCAAATCTAGACCACCTTCTGCTGCAAAGGAGCATTCACAACAGCCCTGCCTGCTCTTAGCGGGGCTCATCAGTCGGCATCCCATAACCTTTTCTGACAGGCTAACAAAATGGCTCTCCTGAGGAGAGCCATCAACAACCTCTGCGAATCACTTCCACTTTTTATTTTATCCAAAGATAACTCTTTCAGACCGATATTTTTTTCCAGGGAAAGTGGCAGGATTGCAATGAAATCCTCATGCTTGCTGACAGTTTCACTTATAGTTCATTTATGAACCTCCAAATTTGTTACAGTACCAAGTTGGTTACTGGAGGCACAGCAGCAAGACAGTCTAAGTCACTCTCTGAAGGCTAACATTAGCACACGTTACAGGAATGGCCAGACCCAGAGAGATCCGCAGTGGTGGATGACAGCACCACTCCTGGATGTTTTGAAAGACAGACAGACTGTTTAGGGAACTGTTCTTCTAGCAAAACACCTCTCAACGCCCCAACAGTGAGAAGTTGTTTTCTGTTTGGAAGCACAAAGATTTATTCAAGCCAGCTATTATTTTCTAACTCAGAAACCAAAGGAAATAATGGTGCAATAGAATTAAAAGCCCAGTAAATACTTTAATTTACAAGAATTCTGTACCACGACTCCTAATACTGAATTCATAGAAACTGTTCAAAATACAAACTCTCCTCCAGAAACATGAGTTGTTCTATACTGCAATATTCACTCACGGAGAACAGAAACAGGAAATCCATGGTACCAAGTGAGATTCCAACATTGCTGCTTAACACAAAGGATAAAAATATCCCCACAAGCAAGCAAGCAAAAAACCAACCCAAAACCTTCCTAGTAACGTATATGCAGAAAGATCTTATATAATTTTATGTGGAAGGTCACTTTAGCAGGTATCACACCTTGAATAAAGGTGCATAATTTGTAAGGTAAGTAAATTATTAAATCAAACACACCAAAACCACCAAAGATTTTAACAGCAAACAATGTAGTGGAACTTAGATATTTCAAAGTTAGAAAAGGATGAGGTCTTGGAAACCAAAAGAGTACCTGCTGCACTACCTGCTTCATCAGATTTACCTTTAGTGTACATCCCACACCAGCTTAAAAAGAGCCCAATGACTTAACTTACACCTTTCAGTTATAATTATCTTCCACAATGTTATAAACTGGTGTAAAATATAACACACACAGAGGCTTAATATAGTGTTAATATTTAGATTTTTGCATTTAATTGCATTGGAGCCCATCACTTCCCAGAAAAACATCTTTATGTTGGCTATAAGAGCAGACAGAATGATGGTTTTGTCATTAAGCATCAAACATTTGGCAGTGCATCAATAATTCTCTTTAATTTGCTTTACCCTCAGAAGCCGGTGTGAGCTGTTGGGCCCTGCAGTGTGCTTCAATAATAGTGCATTAAATGGAAAGTATCTATGCCTGGCTGACCATTCTGAAAGCTGTTTTTGAGTGGCCTGAAATCAGCTATTTGGATTCCCCACAGAGTCTTGGCTTCAAAAATCAACAGAACATTTGTAATGCAAATAATCCACCATCTCTAGAACATCATCCTAATAGTGAACTACTAGCGGTATGAAATCTGCAGGCACAACAAACCCCAAAATATTGGCATAAACCTTCTAGTGTTGCTAAAATATGTAAACACATACAAAAAACCATGAGTAAAACAGCTGGGAAAGAAAAAAAAAAAGACAATAATAACCTTGACTCCCAACATTTAGTAAATTACTACAGCAGGCCCAAGCTAGATAATATAGTAACATTCACCCTCTTACTAAAAAGCTGGTATTACACACAGTAAAATCAAAGTTAAAATACTTAAAACTTCAGGACGTACCCAACAACTGTGTGCCATGAAAAGTACCATTGCTTACAACCCAGCAAATAAACACTAGAAAGCAATAATGACATACGCAGCTCTGCTTTTTTAATTCAAAAAGGCGATGCAAATTGGGGGAAAAAGACTTGGTCTGTCATTATACGATTTTATTTCTAATGCTCACGTTTTACAGCTTCTGCAGCAAAAGTCACGCTTACCTACTGCTTAAATTAAGGACAGAAAGAGTAAATACAGAGAACTCATGGTACCCCAGTAATAAAAACTCCCAGCTGCCTCATACTACTCAGCCCACTACACCTACTCCCAGTGGAAGGAAGACAATCTCCCCTGTAGCACGTCCTCATCCATCCAGGCCTTAGCTCTCCGTAACAAGCTCTGACGAGCTCAATGCAACGAGCACATGAGGAGAAGATTAAGCAAGAAGCTTCTAAAGTGTTTCAGTGCTTGGGGGCGGGGGGTGTGGAGTTCTCTTAGGCACATAACTGCTCAGGCAAGAACATCTCATGGCTAAACACAGGGCATCCAGCAGCCCAAAAACTCTCTGAGTTAGCCAAGCAACTAAATAAAGCTGCATCAAACAAAATAAGGTCTTCAGTTGTTGAAAACCTTAGCGATAAAACTCAACAACACAGGCTGATTTTACCACAGCCTTTTGTGAGAACTTCATACAAAGTTTAATTGCCAATGTCTTGACTCAATGAAAAGGTGAGCCAACCAGACTGTTGAACACCGAGATAAGACTTACTTATTAAGGACAACCATAAAAAATAAAGTAAACTGAAAGTAGGAATGTCCTTAATTCCCACCTCCCCCTAACTGATTCAAGTTGATTTGAGAAACTATGACTCATTAAAGTGACAGAATATATACCAAAGTATATGCAAAAGCAGTTTCAGGTATGTAGAGTGACTGGTTTAATAAGCGGACACAAACCCAGTCAGAATGCTTGCTACAACTGCATTTATTTTCTACAATTGCAAAGATCAGGGGCAGTTTATTTGTGTAGATCCTGTGGTAGATCTCAGAACACCGACAGACAAAAAACGCAGTAAGCAAACTTCAGCAAAGGCCACATATCAGGCTCTGCCTGCAGAAGATTTCATTGCCTTACTTGAAAACTGACTTTTAGGGAGAGCAGATTTAAATACTTAATGCTGTATTCATGGTTAAGATTTCCCAAGCACACATCATCTAGCAGATGACTGGAAGCAGAAGAAAACACCAAGTGTGAAAAAGATGCTGGAGTCTCCTTCTCTGGAGATATTCAAAACCTGCCTGGCCGCGTTCCTGTGTGACCTGCTCTAGGTGGTCCTGCTCTGGCAGGGGGGTTGGACTAGATGATCTTTCGAAGTCCCTTCCAAACCCCTGACCTTCTGTGATTCTGTGAAAATGTAGTTAAGTATTTGAGACCTGGGAAGGTATTCCAGGCCCAAAACAAACACAACCAAAAACCAAAGCACAAACTTACCAATAACCAAAAAGCCCAAACCCAAACAACCCCCACCAACCCCCAAAAGTCTACGATTCTAGAAAAGGCTGTTCAGGCAGGAGGTAGGAAAGCATTCACTTGGAGACAACATTATAACGAGACAGAACAAGTACTATTGGACTTACAGGTCAGGGAGACTAAAGCGTATCTTGGAAGCGCATTAAGCACAGCCACGCCTCTCCATTCTGCTGCTGCTCTGGAGATGCTCCAGGCAGTTACACAAGTGATCCACACTGGCACTAGACCTGCTCAAAGGAGGAGGTTCTACAGCCACGTGTCTAACGCAACTGCTCTTCAAGAGCACCTCTGTTCCAACTGTTGTAGCGGTACCCCACCACTCCCACGCAGGAAGGCAGCCGAATGCTTCCGAGCTGCTCACGGTCCTTAAGCGAACACTGTGGTGCCTCTTTTCCAGCTGAGGCTATAAAGGGGGCCCTATATCCCAGTGATTCAAAGATTTAATCCCAGAGGCATTTAAGCTTCCTGTGGCCATGAATTTGTTTTACTGATCTTTGGGAAGGGATAAAACAAAATCTCTCCTTGGCCACTCCTGGCAGTCTGAAGAATCAGCTTATTTTACATTTCAGATACTGAGTTGATACTGTTTGGTTCTTTAAAAGTTGGGTTGGTTCTTTTTTTTAGGCTTGAGATCTCTTTCAAGATCACAAGACAGATGCTCTGCGCAGCGATTCCTCACACTTCCAATTGTGATTCTTCTTACAAATTAACAGTTTCGTAAAGCCCAAATATTATAAGTAGTATTGATTAGAACTGAATTTCTGCTGTTAATACTCTTTGGGAATCACAAGCCACTGTAAAGAAATTATACCTGCAAATGCTGTTCTTCCAGAAGCATAAAACAATACAGCTGATCCTATATGTCACCATAACAAAAATCTCAGTGCTATCCATTTGTCTTTCTACATGCAGCAGATGTTCCTTACATTTTACTTATTACGGGATTAAACAGCAACTTTAGGAATTAATACCAGCATAAAACGAGTGTGTTTTGGTTTATCATTTTCATGTACTTCTGGGCATGGGGAAAACCCAAACAGGCAACCATTTGTTGGCATGTGTACAAATAGAAAAGCTCTGATCCCCTCCTGGCTGTGCAAAACACAACTTACAGCCCACCAAGACTCCGAGTTGGAGGGAAGACCTGAACAGAACACAGTCTTGATGCTGGCAATGGAAGGTTACTGCTTCCTCCTCTTGGTTGTGAAGACCTGCACTGTCTCTTGCACCAGTGCTTCTCCGGCACCTTGATGAGCCAATTCAATTTGTAATCCCAACCCTTTTTTCCCCATTAGATGAGACAGGCTGAGCGGATATAAATGCATGTTTATGGATGCAATGAGAAAGCAACACTGGAGATCGCCCTGACAAATCTGGAAGCAGAGGTTCACAGATATATACAAGCAACTCTGGGCTAAATGATGGGGCAGATACAGCTACACTTTAGATTGCTGTCTAGTATAATCTTCAATACAATGAGCAATTTACTGGCAGGCTAGCACAGAAAAACCTAAATTGGGATTTACTTACAATGCTGATCACAGTCTACTCTAGCAAACACCACTTGATTCTTATCTGGATATTCTTCTTTAATTACATTAGAAGCTTCCTCAAAAATAGGATGCAGCATTTGGCTGAAGCGGCACCTGTGGATACAACACAAAATCATAACTTCAAAATATTAATTTGAAATATTTTAATGGATGACTCAGGGAATATTTCAATCTTTGGATGAAAAAAGAAAAAAAAAAAAAGAAAAACTATTGGAAAAGGACATCTACTTGTAATCACCTCAGTAACAGCTGGATAAAAATAGGTTCAAAAATAACTTGAATTCAGGGGGAAAAAAAATAATTCTAAAAGAATATATAGTTAAAGATGTGCCCCCCTGCTTTATCTGCTTAAGAAACACCATTAATCAATTATAAGCCTTTAGGAAATATATTCTATTCAGAAAGTCTGTTCTTCATTTTTTCTACCTGAATTATCCCTGGGGAAGTAATTTTAAAAATACAGTAAAAGAAGTTACTTGGATTGTTGAGATTTAAATATTCACCATCGCCTTCAAGAAATATCAGCGAGATAACTTTATGAGGGTCAGCAACAGAAGTTGTGAGTATTGCTTATCCTATTATTGCTCATTTGGTATGACTAGAACAGACTGCTATCACAGCACTGTGAACAGAGAGAATCCCACACGTCCCTTCTTCCAGTCACGTCAGATTTTGAAGCAAATCCTCTCTTTCTGCCCTTGGAAAAGGCTGCAGGATTCTAAAGATGGTTTGGTGTCTTTGGGGAGGTGAGGATAACTAGTGCACAAGCCCATTATTAATATGTCAATAAAATTATTTTATATTCTGTTCTTTTAAATGCATGGCAGAATTTTAAATTGAAGATGTGTAACAGCACTGCAGAGGTGGTCAGAATAAGACCTCGTGGAGCAGGCTGGCAATAAAACAGCCTGCACTGAAGCCCTGCTTAAGCTTAACAGTGGAAGCCTGGGGATGCCGTTAGCTCTACAACGGCAAGCGTTCACATGAAGAGGCAAGGTTGGGCTCTCAAAATACAAACAGGGCTTGAGAAACCTGACTCTGGGCAGCACAACTTTATGCTACCCATTTATGTAGCGTGTATGTGTTACACAGGGCTTCCTTGTCCCTCATTCTTCTCCACCTTTACAGCAGCAATACTGATCTGTTCTCACTCAAAGGCGACATTACATCATAGGCTGGCAGTGTGCTCTGTTGATGGGTTATTACTGAATGCCTACATGTAATGATCATAATCAAGGCTGTAATGTTTTAAAATTATGGCCTACCATAATGTGAATCAACTTGCAAGCATATGCAAATCTTTAAATTCAAAGCAAATCTATTCTACAGAGGATTTGGCAACAGTTTTTGCACAAAGGATTTGCTAAGAGGATTTGCAAGGAGCTGTGCTAAGGTCCTCAAACAGGACATTTGTTACCTTCCTGTATCAAGTTTTAAAATATTGGTATCTTCCCTTTATCACAGAAGTATCAGAACATGGATTTTTAGCGTCCTGCAGTTTGTCTTTTGCAAACTCCCAAAATGATTTTTTCAATGGTGACCCCAACTGTCAGCACATTAAATTTACTCTCCATAGGTCTGCTTTCCTTGGTTACCTTTAACAAAACCTTTTGAAGTGCTCCATGACCCGCCAGGTATCTGTGGATCACAGACTGAAAAGAACCATCTTAAAAGTTTCATTTATTTACTTCTTTCAAAAGACAGCCTTTATAGCGTAATTCCATATGGAACAGGTAAGAGATTAGACCTAGTTTCTCACTTAACCAGTTACTTGGTTGTACTGTTGTTATAAAGAAAGACATTCCAAACAAATAGCTTACTTGGGAAACAAATGCAATCTCTCCAAACAAAAATTCTAATGGTTTAAATGTGCTTAGTATCAATTTAGTCTGTGGCAGCAAATGAAGAGATGCAAACTAAGTGAACACAAAAATCATCTATAAAATGACACAGGTATATACACAGGTTATTAAACTGATTTAGATTGGCATAATGGCTATCTTTATGTGAAGAAGTTTAAATGAAGGCATTAAAAACATCTTTACTGAGAACTTTCTTCCATATGAAAAGTCTGGGTATGAATTTTTCAAAATCACTTTTAAAAACCAATTACAATTGGCCCGACACTAGCTGAATGAATTATTAGTAAAGGCAAAGCGTGAATTTTTCATGTAAAGCTCTGTGCACTTGCGATTTCTAGGCCACACAAACCTACAGCCACGGACATGTAGCGGGATGTGAAAGAGGTGAACGGAATCAGAAATCGAATCACCTACAGGACCTCTGATTCTGAAGGCCAACAGAGCAAAAATGCTCACAAAGCAAAACAGCAGGGAAAGGAATAGAGTGCAGTACTTTGGTTTATATAATCCTTTACATTATAAAGCTATTTACATCCAAGATTACTTTAATCAAGGAAGACAGAAAATTATTTATTTTTCTAACTTCATTTTCTATACTAATTTGCAAGTTAAATTTTATTTTCTCTGAATACTTTTCTGGTTTCTTCCTTGCTAAAGGACCTTTCAAAAATACCAATGGTGGAGCAGAACAGAACGTTTAAAATTACTTCTTACACAAAAAAAAAAAAAAAAAGGCATGTGTGCTTAAATGAATGACAATTTTGTATGCAAGTTTTGGGTTTTTTTTTTAAATTATAACTTCAACAACCATTCCCCCTAAGTATGTCTTTCACCACATCTAACCAATCTGGTCTTGTATTCTTTCCTCTTCCAGTTGCTCAGATTTCATCCCTCAGTTATTTTTGTAGTTCTCCATTTGAAACATCTTCCAGATTAGAGAAGGAACTGAATTTTAGTGCCATTTCAAGCCTTTTTCTTTCTAGCACACACACACGGGACTAACACAGAATGGAAAATTGGAGTATTTTGGACTATCCTGTGTTAAGGAGTAAAAAGTTAATGAAATCCAGCTTGTTAAGAGGAAAAAATAATAATAATCAATTACATAGCATGTTATTCCATATTACTATAAAAGCTTTTCTCCTCTGACAGGAGCCCTGAATGAAACAAACAATGGCAGAACAGCAGAAGGGGAAGTTACCAGGATCTAAAAAACCAGGAGATAACTGGTTTGAAAGCAACATACAACTGTATTTTCCATTAGAAAACTACAGCCAAACATGACAGTTTTCAAAAGACAGAAGTTTAAACATAGAAAAAAAAAAAAACTTGTGTAACTTACCAATCAGCATAAAAATTAACTAAAGCAACATCTGCATTGTCTGAGAGGAAAGAAAAAAGAACACTGATGTCACACTGAGGCAAACTTCTTAGTGCTTTTATCTGAGATTATAAAAATCTGCACCAAAACTATGAAAGCAAGTATTTCCAGATTATTCAGCATACAGCTTAGTCTGATTGCTAGAAAACTGCTAGGACAAATCTTATCTGAAATATAATCTATATCAAATGGGAAAGCGATGAAAGAGGCCTTCAGTCAAGTATTTTATTGACTTTATTTATATATTAGACACTAAAAATGTCAATACTTAACATGTTAAGAACCAAAAGTAGTAATTAAGTGACACATAAGACAAAAAGTAATTCTGGATTTAAAACTAAGGCGCTCAAAGTCAGAAGTTGTACTCTAGTATAACTTTTAAGCACTATCTAGATTATTCTCAAGTGTTAAAAAAATCCAAACAGTTAAAAGCTGAAATATGAACTAGTTGGGTTAGAAGAATGACTAACACGCAGCCTGCCTGTGCAAATTGCTCTGGTCAGTCCTTACCCGCTTTATTTGCTAAGAAGCTGGATACTAAGGCAAAAGGTATCAGAGAAATCTTCAGATCCCAAAAAAGAACAATGTTAAGGGACACTCGGACAAAAAAAGCAATACTATAGGGATATATATGAGGCGGCAGTGAAATAATGCTCCTACACATTATTTTTCACATACCAAAAAAAGGGAAAATATATCAAAACTAGAAGGATAAATCTCCTGCCCAGAAATAAATTGTGATCTTTACACAATATAACCACCATGCTGTAAATTGATTTTTATTAGTAGCAGTGGCCTAGACATTGGAAAAAAGTGAATTAAATACTGGAATTATAGAATATCAGCCACAGCTTTCTAAAGCAGAAAGGTTGTCGATGAATTTGCACTATTGACAAATTCACAAAGCAGTTACAATCAAGATTAAGATGTTGGCAGCCTGGAAAAGACAACATGCTGGAAAAGATGACTGTTGAGAAGGCTGGGAAAAACCACCATCTTGATTCAAATTACAGCATTAAGATTGTCATTACCAGCAAGAAATGCAAGCGGTGAACAGGAAACTAACAAGCACCGAGAAATCTGGGGTTACCTCCCAAGGCATAAAGTATTTATTGAAAGTAATTGGATAAATTTAAAAAATACTTGCACTTGGCACATACTCCCTTTTATGAATAAGATCCTACAAGAGGATTTTATATTTTCCACTGCATAGAAGGTATTTACAAACAGATCTCATGTCACCTAATCATACAGTTACTGCACAAAGCAATCGTACAACAGGAGGCAGATTCTACTACAGACTTAAACAAAAGAGTATATAAAGATTTTTTTCCTTAATATATTTGAAACAATGCAATAACTTTTTTTCCCTGCTAAAACAACCAGATACAGGCAAACTGCATACTTTTCAGACAAGGAATATACATCTGTTTAATTTATGGGCCTCCTTTCCAAGAGCCACCAGAATCAGGACAATGTTTCACCCGAGGAAAAGCAATGCTGAACCAGCAAGATGCTTAAGGCCCATCACCATGGGTTTCAGTTGCTGCTGGTTTTTGGGGAACTTTTAAAATGCTCGTGACAGGTTCTGGTCATGTCATCAAGCAGCCCATATCTGCAAACAAGATACCAGGTATTTTAGACACTTAAAATCCTCACTGAGATTACAATGAAGTCATTTGCTAGGCAATACATCAGACAGCTAATTTTCATCATAGGCATTTAATACTTCTGTGCTGATTGTGATTCATATATTCAAAGCTAGGGTATGCATATGCATTTAATAACATTGCAAGCTTCACACAGATACGTGACTGTAGATGTACAAAGAAGAAAATAATATTCAAAGTACTCACTTAAAATGTCATCTATATTTCCGCTATCTAGACTTGTTATTTCACTTCTTGTTGGATTAAAAAGCCAAGACACCTAAAAAAGAGAAAGCACACCAGTAAGGTATGGAAAGTTTCAGCAATAAAGTAGTAACTTATCTAGGATTGTAAATGTTGCAAAAGCTGGAGAAGAACAGTAAAAGAATTGTAATTCAGTCAATACATTTCAGATGACAGCAGTACTACAAATATACAATACAAATAAACACTATTCACAGACATAACATACTTTCCATTTAAAGCAAAATTTGCTCTCTCGCCACGTGATTCTTGGTCACGTTGGCAGAAACATTACGGTAAATTTTGTACCTTTAAGAATAAGTTACAAATTCACTTTGAAGCAAGAAACAAAACCCCATTTTAGCCACCTACCAATCCCAGAGAGCCCAGAAGCGTGCAGGCACGGAGGCGTCACCCAGAGACAAGTAATTCCTTCTGTCACTTACAGGGCTCATCTGGCTAAAAAGTTTCTCATTAGGTGAAGCTTGCAATTGCCTCCATTTTTATTGATATTTTAGAAACCAGTTTCAGTATCTAACTCAACCAGCTACAGTCTTTTATCTCCTGTTTTCTTCTTGACATTGCTTCAGTCCCAGCCTGCAATCGGTATATCAGACACCACATCAGCCAGATCATTCAATCACAAAGCCACACGTGTGTTGCTCTTAATGCAACTACCACAGCAACAGGCAGCTTTATGGAAGAGCACTCATATTCACTGCAACAGGGCCAGTTCTTGTATCTCAAAATGCAGAGGGGAAAAAGGGGGTAGGAGTTGCTGCTCCATCCCAGGTGAGAGACACATCAGCGAGTTACAACTTATTTTCACTTTGAGAGGGATAAGTGAGCAAGTTTCTGAGCAGGATAATACAGATTCTGGTCTGGGATGTGAATGCTTCCATCCTGAGCAACCTGGTCAGAAAGTCAGAGCTTCTCTAAGCAGGGCCAGGACTTGGACCAGACACTCTACTGAGACGCCTTCCAGCCTCATGTTTGCAATGAGTCTGAGATGTGGTTGCACACGACAAACACTACGGATGTTCCTGGAGACTTCATTTACTCCTTGCATCTGCAGAGAAAAACTGCTTATGGCTAGAGAGGCAGAGCTGATGAAAGACACCAAGGAAAAACTCAGCTGGAAGCCTAAAGAGCATCCAAATAATGCCACATAAAGCAGCTGGATACAAGGACCCCGTGATAGAAGGGTCTCTGCATTTATGGAAGAGCCTGAGACCTATCCTAGACCTATATTAGAGCCATGACTACAAGCAGCAAGCCTTCAGGGCACACCTGCCTTCCTCACTGTTTACAATTTTTCAAGAGACTAATTCAATGTCAAACATCAAGTTTTCTAACATTTGTGGCAAGCATGTATCAAATATTGGCCTCAAAAGAAAAAAAAAAAATAGCCAAACTGGATGCATGCTTTCATTAAGATCAGCTACAAAAATTGTGGGAGACACTGTCAATAGCTCTCAAACTATCACTGTCAATAGCACACAAGTGAGATTTGCAGCAATCATTTTCAATTCCTTCTGATTTATGGCTCACTAACCACTTTTCAGTGAAGACACTGATCCTGTCGTATTTCCTATATAGAGGCCACTGGGTAGCACATACACTCCAGCTTACACTACAGGCTGAAACACAGCAGCTGCTGTAATATGAAATACACACCAGTGCTTCTCACTTGGTAACTGGACAAGACACTAATCTTACATGTGCAAGTCTAAGATCTGCGATGGAGCTTGCACAGCCTTCCTGTGGCACTTAACCTGCCCGACACAAGTGTCTGAACTGCGGCTTTGAGGTGACTGTAGACAGGCTGGAAGGTCCACAGTTGAAACATTAGCATAACGACATGGTCTGCCAAAAAAATACCTGATTACGCAAGCTCTGCAACGCCCAAGTTGCTGCAGGCAGCATTGGGGAAGTGCCTTTGAAGATGCCAATACTGCTGACTGCTGAGCAGCAAGTCTTTGCAGAGTGAAGCTACATATATGGACCGCTGACTGCTGAGCAGCAAGAAGGGAGGGCTCTGCCTTCAGTCTTTGCAGAGTGAAGCTACATATATGGACCCTGGTCCACATCGGTCAGATGACCCCCAGATGGGTGACAGCTGACGGGAACCATCAGTGCAGATACCTCTCCATCACCCCTTGGGTACTGCTGTGGGGAGGTGATGGTAGTAATAGTTATGGGGCAGTTCAGTGTGTGAACGAGCTGGCATAGTTTTTGTTTGCACACACGTGCTGTTTCATTGCAAGTGTTAGGTTAGAGCTAACTTGTGCACAACTGAAGCAGTTGCTATGATTAACAATAACAGTTGAAGTATTGCTCTAGGCAATAAAGAATAGTATAACTCAACATTAATTTCTTTGGCTATCATCCAATCCTACCACGGGTGATTTTGCAAACTCATGTAAATTCCACAGCTTCAGCTGCCCTGCAAGGTCTCAAGAACCTCTGATCGCACCCTTGAAGACCACAGAGTTACTTATCCTGCTTATAATCTTGTACAAAGCTTGTTTACACACAAAATCCACTCAAGCCCTCGAAGGCAGGAATGTTTTAGCTGCTGCACACAGCTCTGCATCAGCATTCCTACTCGGAAAGAATTTCCACAGCAGGTCTCGGTGAAACTATTTTCACAGAAGCTCAGCAGTTTGTATTGTCTAAACACACTGAAAGGGTAAGATACCAATTTCTTAGACGCACATGGCTTTTTCTAATACAATTTTGCATCAGCAACACAAATATTATCTAATAGGATAAAATACACATAAACTAAACAAAACCTGGATAAGGACATTATTTGCAATCCAGAAACAGGCTATGTATTCAGCAGATATACTGAAATAAATGGGGGACTGTAGTTGAATTTGCAGATTGCTACAGTACACCTTAACTTGCAATGCAAATATCTAACTGCCAAATCAAAGCACAGGGCTTACTAACCAATAAATTCCCCTACTAGACTGTGCTATGTGCACAAAAAGGCAAATTAAAACTAATACTCCTTTATAGCATGAATAAAGTTTTTGATTGCTTTCTTACATCTTGTTGTGGAAAACCGTGGTGCAAGCTGCAGGTACTGAAGCAAAGACCCCAAATGTCTTCATACATCGAATACAAGAATGAAATTAAGTTGTAGATCCTACTGCCGCTTTATATTAAACAGTAGTGGGAAAAATACTGAGACAAAGAATGTCTTTCCCCAAAAGCTGCAAAAAACCTGAGATAACTGAAATACTTTTTCCATTAGAAGCATGAAAATTTATGTCAAAATACATTCATAATAAGTAGGTAGACTGGGGGAGGGTGCATTTATTGAAGAAATGTCAATAAATATGCAAGACTCACTTCAGCTGAAGCTTTCATAGAGGTATAATGCCTGTAAGGAAGAACACACGTCCTTTTGACCCAGTAATCTTGCTGTCCCGTGAGATGCAACAGGGTTTATGATATCACTAGTATTAATATTTAACATGAAGGAATACAAATGTATTTAAATTGCCAAGAAGCTACACCGTTTTGAGAATATTTTCTGACCTTTGATGAGGCCTGTGCTTGATACCCACGGGCAGAAAGCAAGACATTCTTGAGGAAATAACTTTTGAATGTCAGCTAGCCACTTTATAAAACAGGTATGTTCTGAAAAACATATTGGCTAAAAAAAAAAAAAGTTTTCAGGATTTTTCTCTTTTAAATGCAAGGTTTGCATTCCACTGGCCCACGTCAGAAGGACACATGGATGTCTGGTTCATATTTGTAACTAGGGGGGGAATATCCAGCTGACCTCACCAGATAGCTACAAAATCACTGAAGGAAGCATCTTGCAAAAGTAATTCAAAAGGAAAACTGGCTATGTAAGCACACCTGAAAATTTGAAGGTAAAACTAAGTAGCTATGAAAGAAAAAAATTCCAAAAAATAAAGATACAGTAGAACATTAAAATACTAAATATCGAGTGTGAAACTGCATGTTAGATAAGCATGTTCATAATCTACTCACAATTGTTTAACACTATAAAAAAAATGACAAAACAAACTAGACCAAAACAAATGAATGCAGAAACCTTTATACGCTTACAGAAGGCATCGCTGAGGGGAAAAAAAATCAGGAATTGAACGACACATTCACAAAGATAAAATTTAGCTCATATGGTCAGGAATTGAACGACATTCACAAAGATAAAATTTAGCTCATATGGGGGGGAGGGAAGAGGAGGAGACAGCATATGTATTTTTACCCTTCTGCTCCTCAGAAACACCACCAAATAAAGCAGGAATATATCAGCTTAGGTTCCTAGAAGTTTCTGAGGATAACATTGCTCATTTTTTCTACAGGGAAGTTTAATTAGTACAGATATCCTGCAGATATCCTAGCATTTCTGATCCTCACTGGAAGTTAGCAAATGACTTAGCCACTTCTGCCAGGAGTTAGTACTCATCCCTTCTGAGGAGTAACTAAAATTAGCTGACATTTATTCTGATTTTTTCTAACAAAAGACCTCAAAGCACTGCTCGAAAGACAGCATTACCCTCCTCTGACCCGCAGCACAAGGCTACGCAAGCAGCCTTACACAAAACGACATGCCTGGATGAAGCCTGTTCCGTTCCCCCCAACGGCAGACCTCTGCCAGGCCTCACACCCCTTGTTCCAAAGAAGAAAGAAAAACGCACCCAACTTCAACTCATCTCCTGCTGACAGCATTGCTGTTCAATTGCCTCTCCATACATCCAATTAATGAAGCCCATTGGATATTCAGGAGATTTAGGTCAACCTTTTATCAACATTTTATTCTTACCAGTTAGTGCTGTTAGTTCTTTAATTGCTAACTGGACAGAAGAGACAGGCCTACAGGTTTAGTGGTATTTCTTTTCCAAGTTTATCATACTTTACGCACCACTTTCTTGCAGAAGAGTTCAACTGTGCACAATCTTAAAACTACAAGAAAAGGAAAAACACAGGTCTGTGGCATTTTAGTTCTTCATGTCTTTAATTTTTTAATTCACATAATGAAACAGAAGTCCTCATTTCCAGAGCAAACTATCTGAAGAATATAGCAAATCTATTCTTGGAGCATTATGGTTTCTGATTAGTCCTACACCTGCAAGGCAATCAACAAGCACAGCCTTCGTTTTCACTTGCTAAACTTTCCATTTACCTTTTCCTCCTGCTGGGGAATCCTAAAGGCACACAACTAAACTGTCTTTCTCCTCTACCACAAAATCATTTTATGTTTGGCAACCAGCTCTAGCCCGCAACTAATCCAGACTGACATGTCGAAGTCACCACCTGCAGTCCTACCCCCACAGGACTCTGCGGCTGACTTTCAGGCCCCGAGAAGCTTTTCTTTATGCATGCTGCTAATCTCTGCTGCTCTGAGGTCTGCATTAAACTCCTGGACAACAGGAAGCAGGCGGGTTTACAGCCTGCTGTAGGATGATACAAATTGAAAGCAACCCCGGGAGACAGCAACGCCGAAGCCGACAGACATTGTAAAAAGCCCCCGAAGTTTGGCTTCCGAACCATCAATCAGGAGCATCTCACTGGCGCCATTCCCAGAAGCCCTATAACGAACCACAAAGTTCAGAGCAGAGAGAGATAACAGGAAACAGAGAAAGGTGGGGAAAAATAAAAAAAAAACAACATTATTCATCCTCTCAGTAAGAGCAGTTCAAGTCTTAATTGTCAGCACTTCATTTCAGATTGTGCCTGAACTTTTTCACCATTTAGATTAACTGCTGCCATCCCCATTGATTAAGCAGGGGTTTTATTAGTAAAGCTACTTTCATTATAAGACTATGAGGCAGAACTACATTAGTTCAAAACACTAAGTAATGATCACTTCTGAGCTGTATTTAAGTTTTCAGAGCGGTTTTTAAATTGGTACCAAAAAAATCTTTTTCCTATTATTCCTCTCTCAAGAGTCGTATCTTAAATTCCATCAGGGAAATTTAAAACACTCAAAGTAAGCTACTGAAAATAGATTTAAGGATTGAAGTTATTAACTTCCATGAGAACAGAGATAAAACCTAACTAAACTGAAATACATATAATAAATATAGTAGAAAAGTAAACTTATTTCTTTAGCCTTGATAGACAGTTCAATTTTATAATGATTTAGCCAAACAGTGCAATAACTGCACAGAGCTAGGTAGAGACCACCATATTAAGAGGTAGCGTGATTTCTTTTTCCTCCACATATCTTGTCATCTACTCCCATTTTAACTGTCCAACAGGAATACTTAGTGTAGGTACATGCATTATTAATACTGAAAAACTTTTTGCCAGTGAAAACACCGGAAACAAAAAACCCCATTCACAATTTCTAATGGTATCTTTGAAATTCCAAATCATATTGATTTGACACTCAAAACCAGGGAAAAACCACCTTCTGTTCCTACTAACAAACTTAACACACAAGCAAAGGAGTTGCAGGATTGTCATTGTGTGGCTGGGAATGATTCGTAGATGCAAAGACATCTCAATGGCCTGTTAGCACAGCACTGAAGGTTCCCAGAAAAATGGGTAAGTTAACCTCTCAACAGTTTGTGAACTATTATTAGAAGACACAAGATGTTAATTCAAAAAGTCCATTGCAGAGACGAAAATTAAACCTCATAATCACAACATGCAGTTCAATACATTGCAGTTTTTTTCCATAAAGTTATTAGTAGCAGAATCCTGGACACAAACATGATTTTAAAGCTTAAGGCTCTGGGCATAAACCTACGGATCATTGTCTTTTACAGAAACGTTG